TTTATTTTTTATATGATTTTAATATTTAAGAGAGTGATATATAAAAATGTCAATATAATACACATTATTATATTTTACTATTAGAGAAAAAAAAGCACACAGAGGTTTTGAAACTTGCATAAATCCTCACTGCCTGCAGCACTGATTCCTTCACTTCATACTGATGAAAACACATGATGACAAGGCAAGACCCTGAGCTGTTCGCACAAGAGCCGGAAGCTCAATTACATCTTTCCCCAGCAGCTCCAAAAACAAAAGAAAAATGCAGAGAAGAAATAGAAACATGAGACCCCTCGATTAACTCAGACAAGCTCAAAATCTGTAAATCTTGTCTCCTATTACAGTTCTCTCACTCTGTCAGCTTGGTCTTGACAGCAGTTGAGTCTGATCCACCTTCAGATCTGAGACACTGTCCACAATGTCATTGGCTCCAGTTTGAGATTTTGCTGGCCCTGCACGTTTACAGCCAATTAAGTGCAGTCAAGTTTGTGACTCAGAGCCACGATAAACCTCAAAAGTCAGTGGAAAAGACTATCCTTTTCTGAGGCTTTCCAGTTCTGGAAATACAGCCACCATTCATACTACAGCTGTATCACCCAAAGAAGCTAAAGTGTTTGAGTTTTGAGATGCAAGCTTTTCTCTTCCAAACTGCATATAGGTTTAGGTTTAGACAATGATATGTGGTGTAGAATGATTAATTTAAAAAAGTAAAAATAATTGTGGGTTTTAACAATGAAAAACAAAAAGTGTGCTAAAGCATGAGGTGAACACATTTACTCCACAGAGCACCTAGCCAGAAGACCGCTCACATGGGCAATTTTGACACAACATCTTATTCTGTATGTGAAGTAAATCTGGTGTACTTACTTAAGGATTTTTGTTATCTTTGCCACAGGTAGCAATCTCCGTACACACTCCTCTGATGTAGCATAATCACTCATGTCAAAGACTTCAATCTCTTTCTCAGACAGCAGTGAGAAATAGGCAAGTGCTGAACACTGGGAAGGTGACAGTCCTCGTCCTGAAACTTTCGTTTTGTCCAGAGTCACATTGAGCTCATCCATTAAAGACTTGTCCTTCAGTTCACTCAGGCAGTGGAAAAGGTTGAAGCATCTTTCAGGAGAGGATGTTTCTCCAATGAGCTCCTTGATGTATGCTGTTGTTTCCTGAATGTCACTGGAGTGATCTTGTGTGCGTGACAGGAATCCTTTAAGAAGCTCCTGGTTTTTCTTCATTTCCAATCCCAAGAGGAATCGGACAAAAAGATCAAGGTTACCAGTCCTGCTCTTGATGGCTCTTTTTAGAGCACCTTTATTCAGACTGAATAGAGATTTACTTCCTAACCAGGGAAAATTCAGAACTGTTTTCTTTAGTGGGTTAATATTATCGTTTTGATAGGAACCAAAAACATACAGAGCTGCAAAATACTCCTGGACAGTCAGGTGTAAAAAGCAGTACACATTTTCCCGAAACAAGGCTGAATTTTGTTTGAATATTTCCTTGCACACCCCTGAGTAAAGGGAAGAGTTGAGATCAATGTCATATTCTCTAAGATCTTTTTCATAGAACACAATGACATTTTTCTTCAGACTTTGAAATGCCAATTTTCCTAGTTTCAGAATTGCCTTTTGATTTGATTTGAGGACATTTTCTTTCTTTTTCTTCTGTTCCTTTGATGTCAGTAAGACAATGAGAAAGTCTGTATAGAAATCTGTCAGTGTTGTTGGATTGTCCCTTCCAATGTTCTCTTCCAATGTGTGATCCAGAACAGTAACTACAATCCAGCAGAAAACAGGGACATAGCACAACATGTAAAGACTCCTCAGTGTCTTTATATGTGAAATAATTTTGTCTGCTAGAGCTCTGTTCTTACACTTCTTTCTAATGTACTCTTCCTTCTGGTGATCTTCAAACCCCTGGACCTCTGTCACCCTGTTGATGAGCACTGGAGGGATCAGACCTGCTGCAGCTGGTCTGGAAGTGATCCATATGGAGGAGTCAATGGGAAAGTTTCCCTTGATGAGGTTTGTTAACAACAAGTCCACTGAAGTTGGCTTTATCACATCAGAAAAGATCTCATTTTCTTCAAATTTCAAAGGATGTCTGCTTTCATCCAGCCCATCAAAGATGAACAGGACTTTACAGTGTTCTAAAATATTATCAGAGGATTTCATCTGTGGGGAGAAACACTGAACCAGCTCTTGTAAACTCTTTTCTGATGTAATCAAGTTTAATTCACGAAAAGGGAGAAAAAATATAAAATCGAAGTCCTGGTTGTCTTTTCCAGTAGCCCAGTCGAGAATGAATTTCTGCACAGAGAATGTTTTCCCGATGCCAGCGACTCCCTTCATCAGCACAGTCCTGATGGGTCTGGTCTGTCCTGGCAGTGGCTTGAAAATATCGCTGCACTTGATGGAACAGGTCTCTGATTTTGTGCTTTTGGAGACGGTTTCTACCTGCATGACCTCATGTCCATGATTCACCTCAACACAGCTGCCCTCAGTTATCCACACATGTGTAAAGATGTTATCAAGGAGGGTCTGCTCTCCTGGCTTAGCAATTCCCTCAGACACAACTTCAAACCGCATCTTTAGAGCTTCCTTGTGTTTGTCTTTCAGTGTCTGCAGCCGCCCTAAAACAGACAGAACACATGATAGTAAAGACACAGTCTGAGGCTGCAGGAGAAAGCCTGACAGTGTAATGTGATGACAGATCTCGTATAGGCACACCAGTTATTTAGGTTTATGTTTGCAAATGTGAGACACAATCAGAACAGATGGACAGATAAAGTCGTCACAAACACAGTCCATCCGTGTCCCAGCTGGAGCTCAAGGCAGCAACTCCTCATTTTTAATCTCCCTCTGATAGTCATGTCCTGCTCTCTCATCCTGTCATGAGGAGCATTTCCACACAGGGGACATTTTCATTTTTAAGATTGAAGACTAGTTCTGCTCTAATTTAGATATAGGAAAGCTAAGCTGAAATTAATTCATGATATTGACAGACCATTGTGGCAAAAGCCAAATGTGTCAAAATATTTACTGCAAAACACTATTCTTAAAAATATTTAAAATATGCATCCACATGTATTGATGTGATTGTTAAACTTACTAGAACAATTAGAAATTGGTACAGTAAAAACAATATTTGCACAAGGATTAAAGGCATATGATAAGACAATAAATAATGTATCAATACAACAGCAGAATGTGCAAAGTATCTATAGAACTCCCTTTAGATATTGTCACCTTTTGTTGCCTTATAGTTTGGACCTGAAGTCCTACCCCACAACATCCAAGTGAAAAAATGATTTAAGATGAAAATAATTATTATTATAATTATTATTTCATTCCTCACATTCAATGTGAGTCAAAACTTCCCTTCAGTGGCTCTTTCTGTTGCTGTTGCACTAGTCTAGGCTGTTAATGTTTGTGAGTTATAAATTATAATATTATGAGTTGTGAATGTAAGTGCAGTGGTTTGTTTCACTGTTGATGTAATAAATGACTCACCTTCACTGTAAGATGACAATATAATATATATATATAATATAATGTGGTTACAGCTACTGCAGCTCTGAATGCTGTTTTATTTTGGAAAGTAGTAAATGTTGTTTTGATCAGTTTTATTCATATTTCCTTACATCTAACATGTAATGAAACATTACTAGTGACTATACTTGTATTGCAAACTATGTTGTAATGGTTTAAAATTAAAATCACGTAGTTGAGTTGCAACTGGTAAAAGCACATCATCCTCCAAAAGAATGTGCCTATTGGGCACTGAGAAAAGGAAGCACAGAAAAGAAAGAAAGAAGAGCAGGACAAACCATCTCAAAACAAATGAAGTCACTGTAATAATGCATTTGTATTTCATTTTATTTTGTGTTTCTAGCTGGAAACATAGACTACTTGAGGTGTTTTACTAGAAGTAACTGATTCACGTTTCATGGTATTATTTTCAAAGTTAAAATATGTTATCTTTGTTAAATGTGTGCGTCTTGTTCTTGTTTGTAAGTTGTAAGCTTCTTCGAAGCTGGTTAATAAAGGTTTTCTAGCTTAATAGTTAATTTATTAATTGCTCCATGTAGCAAATTCAGTTTGGGGTGGGAGCTGATAATAGTGGTATATTAGTAGTGTGATCTGGAGGGGCCCCTTTCCAAGGTCTTGACTAGGGCCAACAAAAAGCTAGGGCCGGTCTTGCTCAGGAATATCACCTGTGTAGTTTTAAATGAAAGACCTGCTTATAACACAGCAGATGAATATGAGTTTTGATTGTAACAATGATGGAAGAATTTCAAATCTAAAGATGAAATTCTTTGAAATCTGAACCACATGTGGCAGTATGAATACTGATACCTGTAGTGAGCTAGTGATCCCTCTAGTTGTGAAATTGGTTAAAACTCTTTGGAGTTAACTAATTTGAGAACAAAACTAATCATTGATTTTTGGAATAATGCAGCCCCCCTTCAACTCACTGTGATGGATATTGATTACTAAAATAATTTGGGACCAATCATAGACAAAAGCTTAATACTGCAAGACACATGCTGCAGTATGTTGAAAGGTACCTCCAACATCTTTTTTTTCTTCAAATAATCTGATGCAGGACTGCACTGCTCTGTGAAAATGCCAGGTGGCACAGTGAATCCTTAATGAACCATTGTGTCTAACAGACAGTTTATTTTATTTTAATAATAAAAATTAAATTTTCACTCATTAGTACTGCGCTAGTCATACAGTACAGTAACACTAATATATTTCTTTAATCAAATTCAGTTTACAGAATCATTAGTAGTCATGTATACACCAATAAGAAAACAATTTCATTTTAGTTTTTGATTGTAAAATATATTATAGATAGTGACTTTTAAAACATGTTACAGATGACACAAATACTGCGGTACGTGATTGGTTGACCGACAGGGGCACTCGTGGTCCGTTGGTCGGTCGTAGAAAGATTTAAATGTCTTTACTGTGCCCGTTTTAGTATTGAATATTTATATGGAATTTTACCGTGAAGGGAAATCTTAGTAGCTGAGCATAAAAAGAATAGGAGCATAGCATGTGTAAAGGCCATAAACGATACAGTATATGGCTGGTCTCGGTACTTTAAAGAAAAAATACACACCAGTATTCCATTTCTCCCTAAACATTTTAAGCATCGAAGTCTAACGTGATACCGGAGTCAACAAGCATACTTTTAGAATTTGATTAAAAGGGAATATAATATGGAATCGTGTATCTAAAGAAATTAATAATGATATAATTATATTCATGTACCGCAATACAAGAATAGTACACACTGTACAATGTCTGTTGATAATGTTTGTAGGGCTTTTTCAACACACCTCATACAACCTTGCTGGTGGCGCTGTGGGTTAGGTTCCTGACTCTTGCATCACACGTTGTGTGTTTGAATCCAGCTGGAACCATGACTCTTTTTTTTAACAAACATTTCTTTGAAAAAATAAAACGTTTCCCTGGGTCAGAGATTAAATAAAACTTCACTTGCACCAAACAAATTTATATTTCTAAATATCACAACATGATCGAATTTAAGTCATTTTAATAACAATGAATAGTCACTTATGCGTTACAATATAAAAATTTATATTGATTTAAATCACGTTTAAATCGCCTTTATTTAAAACCCATAAATAAACCTGATACTGTTTAGACTTTTAATTATTTAAAACTGTATTACAGCAGCACAATGCACAATGCAACGTAAACCGCTATCTTTGTCTTCTGCGTAATAATGTTCACCTCTCTGTCCAGCAAATTAACAATAGTAATAATAATGAACTTTATTGTATATGGCGCCTTTAAAGGTGGCTCCTCAAAGCGCTTTACAGGATAAAAACAATAACAACATTACTGTTAGGCTGGGCAAACGATTTTTTTTTTAAAGAAATACAAAATGAGATATAATGATGTGTTCCGGCTTAGACAGTAACGAAGAGCATAACATGGGGGCAGCATAGTGGTCAGCTACTAAGAGCATAACGGGGGTCATAAACGATATTAATTTTGGAACATCAACATATTATTTAAACTGTATGTTGCTGTTATTGGTATTTTAAAGAAAAAATACTGTAAAATCTTGGGTTCGGTACAATGTTCAGGCATTCATGTGAAGGACAACAGAGCTTTCAATGGCTCTAAAAGAAAAAAAGACAAAAAGAATAACGGACACAGCGCGATCCTGCATTCTCTCCTCAGCCGTCCATACCACACTTTTCCCTGGGTCAGACATTAAATAAAACTTCACTCGCACCAAACAAATTACCACACACTGAACACTGAACATGTTAACCCAAATACGTCTCACAATACTTTTATGGTACATTACTTTGCTAAAATGTATTTAAAAATAAAAACGATTACAAACGCCAGCAGAGAGAGAGAGACACACACACACAGTTCTTCATTGTCAAAAAGTAATTGTTTTTTACTTTGTCAGCACCCAGACAACGCAAACATGTTATTAATGAAATGCTTTTATTCATTCTTAATCGAACTCACAAGTTGCCATCTGCTGTTGAAGCTCTGTGAGACTAGACTCACACATGGCTAAACTTGACTCGGTTCTGGCTTTCCCATCTATACCGATGCCTTCAAGTACAACCCCCCTCTCTGTGGGAGTGCTGGCTGTGATGAATTAAACTGGTTTCACAGATATTTTCAAAGTAGAAGGGGGCGAGATTTCCAGCGAAAGACACTTCCCCCCCTCCAAAACCCAGTAAGTACAGTACTTACTAGTTAAGAAAGCTAGTTATGAAATCGTTTAAACATGCTAATGCGTTGGTGTAACAGTCCGGGCGTGGCAAGCTTCTAATGTCTCCCGACTACGGTGAAAGGAACCCTTCTTTCATTGGAAGACATGAATATATTCTACCCGTACATGAGAATATAATGCTGGCGCGTGGGCCTGGTGGGGTGCTGTACCAGCTGTCAATTTTTTTTTTAAGTCAATTGAGTGTCCATAATATTGCAGTAAGTGAAAAGACCACGGGCATTCTTTCTCCCCCTACATTCTCAGAGTAGAATAGAATTTATTATTAGCACAATTTATTACAGTGCTAAATTTAATATTATTGATTACTATTAATTTATGCTAACACCTAGCTTTCTTAACTAGTAAGTACTGTACTTATTGGGTTTTGGAGGGGGGGGGGAGGTGTCTTTCGCTGGAAATCTCGCCCCCTTCTACCTTGAACTCCCCCCTGTGTATTGTCCGTTTAGGGCAAGCGAGAGAGAGTGTACTGTCCTTTGACAAAACAAGGCTCGCCAGATAATGTGAATCAAAACCTGTTTTTCTAGCGTTTAAAGTCGTGCGATGTGTAAGCAGGAACACATCATTATATCTTACATATGAAAAATACATAATATAGTTCCCAAACAAACGCAAATGTGTTTTTAATAAAATGCTTTTATTCACTCATAATCTGACAATTTCAGGAAGACTAAGG